AGCTATTAAAATTTTGTATTTTATATATATATATATATTTATATATATTTAGCTGTTAAAAGTTTAAACTGATTAAAGTATTTATTAATTCATCAAAGTTATCATCATAATTCTATTGCATGTTGACATACATATTACATTTTTTAGAAAAAAAATTATTTTTAAACAAAAAGATTATTAAGATTGCTGGCATATTTTAAATTTTTCCCATTATTTTTAAGATCTGGCTTAATGAAGGGAAGCTTTTGATATCTGCTTTTATATTCAATGTGCCATAATATTGCAAACCATACATTGTATTTATCTGAAAATCTCCAGTGTACATTCATGAATATATGAGAATTAAAAAGAAAAATAACTTATGAAAACTATTTTCACCTTCTAGAATCCTTGAAAAAGTCCTTGGTGTCCCAGACTGTTCCTTGAGAAACCTTGATGTGAGCAGTGGTTTTTAAACCTTTTGGCTAACAAAATCATTCTGGTGAATATATTGACTTTGCATTCTGAATTTGAATTATCAATTTATTTTTAATTTTTACATGTATTATTTATCATTAATTATGAATAATCATGAAATATAAAATATGCGAATTTATAATAGAAAGAATTTATAATACATAAACTTAAATATTTTAATAAATTTTATTTAAATATTTATAACACATAAGTTTGAGATTCTAGTTCTAAATGCAATTCATTATAGGTATTGTGAAAATATATTGTTTGTTACCTTCACTGAATCATGATACTAATTTTTAATTATTGAATTTAATTACACAATTATTTAATTGTATAATATATTTTTAAATTTTGGCTGATGAATGTACATCTTCCTTGATTCCAAAGATCATTTTTACAAATTAATTGAGAGATTTTGTTTCTATTCAAATAGGGAAAAACATTAAAAATCTTTACTCAGAAAAATTGAGAACAGAATGGAATATTCTATCTTCAAATTTTAATATTATACAAATACTAGAGCTTTATAGATGAATAGTGTATGAAAAGTCCAGTAACATTGCAATGGAAGCAATTTTGAAATTTTGAATATCTACTTACAAAATGCAACAGCATGCTGGTTTACTTTAAGAACTGGCTCATGGGTAAATGAATGAATGAATGAATATATAAAATGGACTTCATAATCAAAATGATAAATACACTGAAAAGACATTCATGTTCCATTCAGTTGGACAGAGTGAATATGAATGAGGCTTGAATTCTTTTGCTTGTCAATTAAAGAGAAGGTGGCAAAATTACATGAGGAGGAGGAAGTAATCAATTATAGCTAGATGGTAGCTCAGCTTCTAATAGCATGCAATGTACAAAAAAGAAGTAGAAATTTAGAGAAATGGTGGAATAAATAGTGTCAGTGCCTTGGGATCGTAATCACACATAGGCTTCCATCTTATAATCAATCATCCATATGCAAAATTAGAAAATAAAATCACATATATGCAAATGGATTAAATTCATTGAAAGCATTTAGAGATCAAATAGAAAATTCTGTTACATTGTAACAGATATTCTTTATCTATTTGCAAATTACAATCACATAAAGTTAGTGTCTGCAGATCTTTCTTGATAGCCTAGATTTAGGAGCTTGTCATTTTGAAGTGACAGGGTAAGATGAACAAGATGAGAAACATTATCTATGTTTTACAGTTGGAGAAATCCAGTGGACTAGGAGCTCTAAAATTTTTCAGTAGAATCCTTGTGACCCATATCTTCCAAAGCATGATGGGTGGTAACAGCCATATTAGTAACCTCCGTAGCTACCATAGCCACAGCCTGAGTCATAGCTAGGTTCACCAAACTCTAGTCCTTATAGTTGTTGTATGTTATGGTTGTGACATGAGATGCTCCCTAAAAAACTCATGTGTCAGGAAATGCAGGACTGTTCAGAGGTAAAGTAATTAGATTATAAGAGCTGTAGCATAATCAGTGGATTAAATCACTTGAAGGATTAATGATTTGAATTGGTAACAGTTGGGAGGTAGCAAGAGGCTGAAAGCCAGAGTTCCATGGGGGTATGCTCTTGGGATTATATTTTGTCCCGGACTGCTTGCTCTCTCCTTGTCTCTGTCTGCTTCCTGGCCACCATGGGCTAAGCAGCTTTCCTATGCCATATGCTGTTGCCCTGATGCTCACCAATGATGTCAAGTCCAGGGCGATGGAGTAGGCTGACTATAGGCAAAAACCTCTAAAACCATGAGCCCCCAATAAATCTTTCCTCCTCTAAGTTGTTCTTATCAGGTATTTAAGTCATAGTGATGCAAAGCTGAGGAAACACACAGCCATAGGTCATGGTGTCAAGTGTGGATAGTTCAGGTGTGGAAGAGGGAGGGAATTTTCTGATCGCTATCTTCACATTATCTTTTACATTTTTTCAGTAGTAGGTATGGTAAATTACATGCAATGTTGCCTCACTAGAAATTGTTTTACATAAACCATAAATAGCACCAATAGCAAAACTCTCATAAATTTCTTATTTGTTAGCATAGTGAAGACTTGTAGTCAAAATTCCTCTATGATTAAGTCAAGATTTTCATTATCACATTATATAAATTGAATGCAGTTTTTGACCTATTTTTTTTTTCTGTTTTTGGTGGGGAGGTGCTGGGGATTGAACTCGGGGGCACTTAATTACTGAGCCACATCCCCAACCCTATTTTGTATTTTATTTAGAGACAGGGTCTCACTGAGTTGCTTAATTCCTTCCTTTTGCTGAGGCTGGCTTTGAACACATGATCCTCCTGCCTCAGCCTCCTGAGTCACTGGGATTACAGGCATGTACCACTATGCCCAGCTTGACCTAGTTTTAAAGTCCTTCCTCACTGAAATGTTAAATATATATTCCATGATGAGATTCTATGAAGTCACAGAAACTATGCAAACAACAAATGATTCAAATTGTTTTGAGCTTTTTAAGAGTTTCAATTTCCTCTGGTCAGCTGCAGGTGAGAAAGACATTCTGTGTGAGGTTGGGTTTTACTTAAAATATGAGATCAACATTGCCTAATATCCTTATAAATATAATTCATTTCACCTTATATACATTACTCAAGTAACGTCTTTACAAGATACAACATTTAAAATGCACAAGTATATTTTTATCAGCATCACATCAACTTCTATATCAATTAACCAATTATCTATTCTTATCTTTTCCAGGTAAACTCAGCAAAACTGAGACTTTCTAGCTTTTGTGAAAGCACAATTCCATTAAAGATTCCACCAACCTCTCTTTCTCTTGAGGCGAACCTCAATGTACAGTGGTATGGTGTTGGTGGGGAGGGAACACCTCCCCCTGTCCTCTGCTGACATCTGATTATGGCAGTGCACATTGCCATTTCCAACTGTCATAACCAGTGGATCCATTACCCAACATTCAGTGCTTTATCCTTTGGCTCTGGAGCTAGAAGAGTCTGGTTGTGGGAGGAAAATCAGTGAGTCTGCATTTAGGTCTCCATGGGTGGACTTGGATTTAGTCATTGCGTATCTTCCTGCTTATGCTATATCTGTTGGGGAACTCATTGAAAAGGAGTGCACCTTTTTCTGCTGTTAGAGACTTAGCCTTATTGCAGGGTTTCTTCTCCTTTTGGCTGTGATAGCACCATGTCCTAAAGGAAGACCGCACTGTGTCTGTGTTTGTTAAACTCATCAACACTCCACTAAAGCTATATCCATGAAAAAATATATGGTATGAAAAATATTATAATAGGCAAACTTTATCTAGGTATCGACTGCATGCTAGATACTGTTCTAAGTGTTTGACATGGACTAATTTGATTCTTAAAATTGCCTTATGAGGTAGGGTATTTTTACAGTCTCATCTACAGATGGGGTAGCTGGAGCACACAATTATGGTGGTTGCACAGCTATAAGTGATAAAATTAAAATTTAAACCACAGAGCTTATTCCAAATGTATAGCTCTATTATGCTCTACTGGTTTATATGAAGTCATTGTGCTAAGAACATCAGTTCGGAGGGTGAGTTTCTTTAACCATTGAATTCATTTCTGAGTTATATTGCATAAGTAAACAAAAGTACTTGCTAACAGTAATATTTCTCTTATACTCTGAGAACTTATTGAGAACTTCTTGTTGGTAAAAATCCACTAGGTTTAATGAAAAGGCATTTGTACCATTTTTATTGTTACAAGTAAAGAAAATGCCTGTATCATCTTTGAGTCAGAACACAAGTATAAAAAATGTCTTGAAATTTAAAGGAAGCTTTTTCATGAAAATGGAGTTCTATATTTAAAAAAAAAAGTGAAATCTCAACATTTCCATTTTCTGCTTATGGCTTCAGGATATGAACTTGAAGCCAAGGGGAAAATATTTGGTGCTTTTAAAACAGTTATAAAAGAAAATATTGATGCAAATGCGATAGAATAGTTTTCTCTAGTCTGGTGCTCCAAAATTTCAAACTATTGGACTGAGACTGAGTGATCCTTTATGGACTTTAGTAATAAAATATTTCTCATGTAACATGAAGAGAATCTCCAATGGGGGGAAATGGGTTTGGAGTACCAGGGCACAGAGGAAGATGCTCAAGCTTAAGGGTAATTATCATCGCTTACTGGATGTCAGCAAAAACACAGTGAAATTATTAGCTGTGTCTGGATCAAGTCAGCGTTTACCTATTAAAAATGCTGTTTCTTGCCATAAAAGCTGGTTATAACAAAGATAATTTAAATATCTTGTGTGGGTAGGGTTTTGAATATGAGAAATTGAATCACATTTATGACCAACAAGTGGTTCAGATGTGGCTAAACAACAGGAAATTTTCTTAATGCCTCAATGCCAGGTTTTAAAAATGAGTCAACAAATTTTTCAGATTGCTTCTGCAAAGAAGCCAATGGTGTGAGGTGTGTGGTGGTTCTGCCCACACTGAGGGCATATAAAAGGCCCTCTTCAGGTAGAATTGTACAGACTCAAGTCACCTATATTCCTTCTCTACCCAAGGATAACCTATCTACTCAACAGCCTACACGATGTGTGGTAGCTACTGTGGAAACTACTATGGCGGCTGTGGCTATGGAAGCTGTGGCTATGGAAGCTGTGGCGGTCTGGGCTACGGCTATGGAGGCCTAGGTTATGGCTATGGAGGCCTGGGCTGTGGTTATGGAGGCCTGGGCTATGGCTATGGCTGTGGCATCCGCAGACTGGGCTGTGGCTATGGCTGTGGCATCCACAGACTGGGCTGTGGCTATGGCTGTGGCTATGGATACGGCTCCCGCTCTCTCTGTGGCTGTGGTTATGGATGTGGCTCTGGCTGCGGCTCTGGCTTTGGATACTACTAAGGAGGACATCATGGGAGATGCTCACCCTCTCCACCTGCGACATCAGAATTCACTGATTCCAAACTCCACATGTTCGAGCCTCACACTTGGATGATGATGATTCTGCCAAGGGAGTCAGTTGTTGGCCTATATGGAAACTACCATTTCCCTGAGTTTACCTCCAGAAGTGGGTCAATGTCTCATGAAATTCTCATGAGACCTCACAGTTGTGCTCTCATCAGACATTGGTGTCAGAGCAACTGCCTTGATGACTTTCAAAATGGAGGTTGTTCTCTGTTGTCCTAATAAACTTGCTTAACCTATAAGAGATATCTTGTCAGTCATTTGGTATCCAAAATTACTTGCAGTTTTTCATTTAGGCTTGTGAGAAAGAGAAGAATTAACATTCTTTGGTAGATAATCTTTCTTCCTCTTTCTAGATTGGTTTCTTTATAATTTCAAAGATCACCTAAGTTAGGTTTGTTTTGTTTTTGTTGTTGTTGTTGTTTTGGTAAACTCACTTTTCTCTTCTCCTTTTGAGGTAATAATGCATATTTAGTTCTGGGTAATTCTCAACACTGAATCAAGTGTTATTTATATGCTATTTTATACATTGCCTAGCATAGAGTACATAGTAAGAAAAACAATTTTCTCAACTTTCAATAAACATATCTTAAAATTAATGCTCTTCCCATATCCTCCATACTTTTTTTAATTGTAGATGTAAACTAAATAAAAGTCTTATAAGCTAATTCAACTTAATAAATAAAAAATGCATTTCGCCTTAATGGTAGGCAATCATACTTAGTTAAAACACAGTTTCAGGAATAGACTTAAGTTGTTTCAAGATCTTATAAGTTTCCAGTTCAAGATGTTGGGTGGGACTGTGTTCATATCTAGGCTTCGTTAGGGAAGGATCCAGTTTCAAGCTCATGTACTTGTTGGAAGAATTCACTTGCTTGCAGAGGTGGGCTTGACGGGCTTATTTCCTTGTTGACAGTTAACTGAGTCCCTTGCAGGCTGTCTTTTGGAAGCCACTCTCAGCAGAAGAAGGTGCTCAGTAGGTTCCCAAACATAGCTGTTAGTTTTCTCAAAGCCAGGAAGGCAGAAAAGTTGATCCATCAAGAAGAGTACTACACCTAAAGTAACCTAATTATCCATGCTTGCCCTACTCATGAGATTAGAAGCAAGTCATGTGTCTCGCTGACTCTCACAGGGAAGGTCTTACACAAGGGCACCAATCTCAAGAGGCAGGAATCAAGGGGGGGGGGCATGTTGAGAAACTGCCTATCTCCAATTATGTGTGATTTGTCCCTCAGAATAGGGGTTAGAAAGTGGTTCTTCATTTTCAGTGCTCTTAACAATTTACAGAATAAATATTGGTATTATCTAGTCTTTGAAGATACGGTAAAATTCTTCTGAGAAATCATCGGGGCCTGTAAATACTTGGTGATTTTTTCTATTACTTCCAAGGAAATTGATCTCTAAATCCAGTGATCTAGATTAGATCTAATTGATTTCTAAATCTAATGGCTCATTTTGGTAATTTCTTTCCATAGGAAATTATCTATTTCATCTTTATAAATTTAAAATACATAGAGTCTGCAAAGTAGTCCCATGATATGTCATATTTCTTCAATTTCAATTTCTATTTCCTCCTTGTTTGTTATGCTGTGTATGGTTTCTTTTATCTTGATCAAGCAAGCAATCTATACCACTGTTTCTTTCACATAATGGTATTTTGTCTTATTATTGAAATCTGCCTTTTATTCTGTTCTCTACTTGGCTTGTTTTTGCTTTCCTATTCATATATATATATATATATATATATATTTACATGTATATATATTCATAAAGATTGTTATGTTTTTTTCAGCATAAATATCATGCATATGTATTTTGTAATTGGTGCAGCTTTTGCTTTGAAATTTGAGTCAAATTGAAAGTGTTTCAGTTAATATAAACTAAGCCTATTCATATATATGGATGTGACTGACATTTATGATAATAATCTTTTTTTAATCTTTTATTGATTTTATTTTTTTTAAATACACGACAGCAGTGGAATGCATTGCAATTCTTATTACACATATATACCACAATTTTTCACATCTCTGTTTGTATGTAAAGAATATTGACACCCAATTCAAGTCTTCATACATGTACTTTGTATAATGATGTCCATCACATTCCACCATTCTTGTTAATCCCCTGCCCCCTCCTTTTCCCTCCCACCCCTCTTCCCTATCTAGAATTCATCTAATCTTCCCATGCTCTCCCTCCTCCCCCACAATGAGTCATCCTCCTTATATCAGAGAAAACATTAGGCATTTGTTTTTGGGGGATTGGCTAACTTCACTTAACATTATCTTCTCCAAGGACATCCATTTACCTGCAAATGCCATGATTTTGTTCTTTTTTAATGCTGAGTAAAATTCCATTGTGTATATATGCCCCCCCGCCCTTTTTTATCCATTCATCCACTGAGGGACATCTAGTTTGACTCAACAGTTTAAATATTGTGAATTGTGCTGCTATAAACATTGATGTGGCTGCTCCCTGTAGTATGCTGTTTTTAAGTTCTTTGGGTATAGTCCAAGGAGAGGAATAGCTGGGTCAAATGGTAGTTCCATTCCCAGATTTCCAAGGAATTTCCATACTGCTTTCCATATTGGCTGCACCAATTTGCAGCCCACCATCAATGTATGAGTGTATCTTTTCCCTCGCCAACACTAATCTTCATCATGTGGGATTAGGCCCCAACTTCCCTATTAAGACCCCTATAGTGTAAGAATTAAAACCAAGAATCAATAAATGGGATGGAACCAAACTAAAAAGTTTCTTCTCAGCAAAAGGAACAATCTATGAGGTGAACAGATAGCCTACATCCTGGGAGAAAATTTTTACCCCTTATACATCAGATAGAGCACTAATCTCTAGTGTATATAAAGAACTCAAAAAGTTAAGCACAGAACAAACAAATAACCCAATCAACAAATGGGCCAAAAATCCTGAACAGACACTTATCATAAGAGGATATAGAATCAATCAACAAATACATGAAAAAATGCTCATCATCTCTAGCAATCAGAGAAATGCAAATCAAAACTACTCTAAGATATCATCTCACTCCAGTCAGAATGTATGATAATAATCTTTATGTCTTTTATTAAATACTTTCGGGTTTGTTTTTGTTTTTATATAATGATTTTGAGTTTTCCTGTTTCAATGTTAATTTTCCAGGGGAAATTATTCTCAGTTGGTATCATTGATTTCATTTACAGACATTTTGCAATAAATCTGTGTGCCAACTGTTAATCTGTGTCTTGTTATTTATTTTTGGTAGTAGTATAATTTACATGATTTCTAACTTAATGAAACACTTCCACCAATACAATAAATTTCACTTTTGTTAACATTTTCTGTTTTGTTTCTGATGATACAAGTTGGATACCTTCAAATTTGTTTTAACTTTGTTTTGGGTGGATCCTAATTTTTCAATTTACTTATTTATCCTTCATTACCCAACTTCTAAATACTGCTCCTCCCATCTCTTTATATGTTTCTTCCTAAGAAGTTATGAGTTTTGCTGGGTGATGGTGCATGCCTGCAATTCCAGTGATTCCAGATGCTGAGGTAGGAGGATTGCAAGTTCCAGGCCAGCTCCACAAATTAATGAGGCTCTAAGCAACTTAGGGAAAACTTGCCTCAAAAAAAAGAGAAAGACTGGGGATATGGTCCAGTGTATAAGCACCCCTGAATCCAATCACTGATACCAAAAGAACCCCCAGCCTCTCAAAAAAATAAGTTATGAGTTTTGCAACTGCCCCTACAAACCATGCATAGTTTTCAACTCCTTCCCTGATGTCTATTTGCTTATCTACCACAATCCCTTCTCTTTGTTTTTCCTTCTTATCTTATCCTCCCTCCCTTCTTCCCATCTTTCCCTTCTGAATTTTATATGCAGAATGAGTTATCCTTTTGGGTAGGTTTTCTAGATGGACATCTAGCCTTCTTTCTAACCATTCTACTGTCTTCCTGAATTTTTTTTTCTGTCTGTTTTTGTTATCACAAAGCTTAGCAGCAGGACAAGGATGGGGTAAAAGAGAGTTTAGGTATTAGGATTTATTTTAATTTGTTTTGTTGAAATTAGTCATACTTTGATTTTCATTTTTGCTGAGGGTGTCATTTTTCATATAGCTTTTGTGTTCCTTTGCTGTGAGTTGAACTGTATTACCCCCCAAAAAAACATATTAAAATCCTTACCCTTAAGATTTGCAAGTGTTTCCTTATCTAGAAATAAGGTCTTTGCAAATGTAACCAAGTTAAAATGAGGTCAGATAGAGGGGTTGATCAAATCCAGTGAGTGGTGTTCTCTTAGAAGGCTATGTGAAGACACAGGAACACAGAGACTCTCACAGAAAATGCCATATAAAGACAGAATAAGAAATTGCAATTATATTGCCACAAGTTATATTGCCAAGGAGCATCAAAGATTTCTAGTAACTTCAGGATGCCTGAAGAAATAATGAATGATTTCTTTCTGGAGCTTCTGAGGGAATATATCCCACTGATATCTAGATTTCAGGCTTCTAGCCTCCAAAATTGCAAGATAAAACTTTGTATTATTTAAGCCCTATTATTTGTAGTAATTTGTTACTGGAACCTAAGAAACAAATGTGCCCTTCTTGCTATTCATCATTCTTTTGGAAGAAAGGTCTTTGGAAGACTTTGTTTTTAAAAAGCATGATTGCCTTTTACTACTTTGAACACATTCATAATGACTTCTTTGAACTATGTGTCTGATAAGTCTGACATAAGAATCTTGTTAAAAGTTCACTTTTTATATGCTGATGGCATTTTTTATATGTAAACCACATCTTTGTTTTTCTTGTATATCTCATAATAACATTGAAAACTGGAACTTTTAGTTTGTATTCTGTGGCTACTCTGGATACGCTTCTCTTTTTTTTATTTGTTTAGTGACTTGGCTTAACTAAATGTTAATGAATTCTATTTTCTCTTGCTGAAAAGTCTTCAATGTCTACAATGTCTACAGCAGGTGTAGTCTATGACATGTGCAGTGTCATCCTGAGATTTTATTTTAAATATCTTAAATCTTTCTTTCCTTGATTCTTCTGTTAAATATTTGTTCTTTCTTCCTATCACTTTCAACTGTTAAGTTCACTAATTTTAGGTGATTATGACATGATTTTCAAAAATATGTTTGGAAACAAATGACTTCACAGATTTAATTAATTTTTAACTCTTTACTTCAAGTATATGATACATTATTATTAACTAAAGTCACTTTGTTATCACTACATCACCAGAAATTATTGATGCTATAAGTGAGCATTTGTACATTTGAGCAATGTCTCCCCATTTTCCTCAATTCTCAGTTCCTGGTAACCACTATTCTATTATCTGAGTTTGTTAAAAAATTATATCTTAAGTATTTTTAACACATACACACACACATACACACACAGAGTCAACTGTTTGTGTTGATTGTATGCTAATGAGCTACACACACCAAATTCATCAATTTATGTTATATACCTTAAATACATGCACTTATTTGTCAATTATATCTAAATAAAGCTTTAATATTAACAAATCAATTTAGCATCCTTAGCAGGTATAACTTTTGAGGCCAGACTTAATTTGTTCTGAGCTCATAGGAGCTGTTCTTTGTTGTTTTGTCTCCTGTTTCTCTCTGGTAAACTAACTGATCTATGGCTTAACTGGTTGCTTTCATGGAGAAACCAGGTTTCTCTTAATTGCTTATCATCGACATCTGAATTGTTTCAGGTATACCCTTAAGATTGAATATCCTACACATATTATAAATAGACTAGTTAAGTTGAGGAGATATTAAGAGTCCTATGTTCTTTTGGACTAGATAACTTAGAAAAATAAATGTATATGAAATTTCTACAGGTTTTCAAAAGAAATCTTAATTAAAAATGAATTGTGACATTTACCTAAATAATACAGGCTAAGACAGTTTACCTGAATAATACTAACAACTTCAAGGAAGTGTTTTCTAAATTGATGAAAATTCTAGGTCATTTCAATAAAACATGTTCAGATAATGCGTGATAAGTCTAAGATACAGTGGTCACTGTGTGTTTGAGTAGACATCATTATCACAAATAGTGTTGGAGGAAAACATAGTTCCCCCTAAGAGAACGATCTTTAGTTCTTAAGGGAAGCCAGAAGACCAGTGTCTTCCTTGGCTGCCTGGCTGGTAACAGGTCATCTGTACCCACCAAACACCCTCATAGCCATAGCCTAGGCCACCCCAGTAGATTCTACAGAAGCTCTTTGTGTCAGGAGAGGAAGGCTGCATTATACAGCAGGGGCAGATTCCAAAGTTCTAAGTTCCTAATCTGCACAGAGCTTTGTAAACCAGCTAAGTGGTATGTGGGGAAAACCATATGCACTGTTGGATTCACATCAAAGTAATTGGCATTGAAGTCATCTAAAATATTTCTCATAACTACTATATCCAAGATATGCATCAGTGTGTGCCAGGATGCTTTGTGATGGAATCACATGCCTTTAACAAGAGATTTTTCTTCTCCTACTTTGATAACGTGTTTATTTCTAAAACCAGATATAAACTAATTACCAGCTATCCATAGATCATATAACTCAAATAGATTATTCCTATTAAAAAATCCTAGTTTTATTTAATAATATCCTCCTTCCTATTTGCAAATATGATGTGGTGAGAGCAAAAGTGTGGTTTCAAAATAGTAAGGAATTATGCATATATTAAAGAGAAGACAGGGTGGCAGGATTCACTTTTAAAAGTTGAATAGTGGGCTGGGGATGTGGCTCAAGCGGTAGCGCGCTCGCTTGGCATGCGTGCGGCCTGGGTTCGATCCTCAGCACCACATACAAACAAAGATGTGTCCGCCGAAAAATAAAAAATAAATATTAAAAAATTCTCTCCCTCTCTCACTCTCTCTTAAAAAAAAGTTGAATAGTGAAGTATTTCATTTGTTTATAGTGTGCAGAACAATATTGTTCATTTTGACATGTACTTCTCACACATGAATTTTCAGTTTATTTAAGACCTAAAGTCATGGCAGAGACCCTGTTTACTTCTATTTACCCTAAATATATAGAAAGAGACTGGTTTATCTATTAGGAATCATGACTAAAATTGACTACAGAATCTCTCAAATATTTGCTAAAATCATGTGTCCACTGCTATGGAGCACTGAAAAAGTCATCTCTCTTCTGATATTCTTCCTCAAATGTACAACCTTAATCAACTTATAAAGAAAACTTCAGACAAATACAAATTGGAGAATATTCTAAAAACTATGACTATTTAAACTTTTCAAGGCCATGAGAGTAAAGGAAAGACTGGGGAACTCTCCCCAAGTGAAGAGTAAGGGGATGTGACACGCAAACTCAGTGTGAATTTCACCCTAAAACAGAAGGAAAAGACACTAGAAGAATACAAGGAGTGAAATAACATTTTATTTATTCAGCAAAGTTAAATTTTTTGGTTGATTATTATACTATGGTTGTGAAAGATGTTAACATTAGCAGATGTTGAGTGATATATATTGTGCATGTTCATATTATGTATAGTAACATTGGACATAAAATTGAGATTAATTTTTGGGAAAAGGGTACCAAAGTGATCCATCTGAACAGAGTTTACATAAAACTAGAGACTCTTGGAGGAGCCAGCATCCAGATGGGCACTCCTAAATTTGGGAGGAAATATGAAGAGAGAAAAATAAAGGATGCTTCAAAGGAGCAGCTGGTGAGGTTGAATTAAATCAAATGCCCATGGTAGGATGAGGGTATAGCTTGGAGTGTCTTTCATGAATGAAAGGAAGGTTTGTTGAACCTGAATGTTGCTCAGAGTCTGAGGAAGACAATGATCCAATGTCTGGATTTGGTAGGACTTAGAATTTGATGATCCCTAAAAAAGATGTTTCGTACTGGGGACCAAAGACCAAAAACTATGAGCAGAGTAATACAGCAATGTTAGTATGCTACCATGGAAATACACTTAAATGAGGATTGCTTTTAAGGATTTGTTGTTTTTGATTAGGGATATAGATGAGAACTGAGTATACTCAGAAAATACATGAGAAAAAAAAAACGTTTAAAAAAATGAATGGCATGTCATGTAGGACAGTGTTCTCACTGCTGTAATTAGAAAGAAGAACTCAATTTGAGGGGAGAAAGAAACTACATCCTGGAAATAAAATTTAAGGAGGAAAAATGTAACAGCAAATGTTGTTAACAGGGACAATGTGTTAAACTAAAAGCAATATATCAATATCCCTTTTAATACAGTACAAAAAGCTCAGGTTAATTATAGTTGTTGTTAATTTTTAAATTTCCTGATGCAATTCAATTTTACCAATTTTAGTGATGTTGTAAGAACTTAGTCTGGAGAAAGTGAAACTTTTGCTATATCTACTAGTTTTTAACTAAAATGTATTGTTAAATTGATTCTGCACTGAGAGCTGAGGCTATTAGTTATTTCTCTATTACAAATTTGAGTATGAGGGAGTGAAGATGTTATCCTGTTCTACTATCTTGATCCAGCAGATCGTAAAAGGTCACAACCATTCATCAATTTTACAAAAATGCACCTGCCAAGAAACAAATATGGAAACAACATTCAAAATACAGGATGGATGAATGAATGGATGAGTTGCTTTCATCCTAGGTATGAAAATATTAAATTAATATCTATCTATCTGTCTTTATCTTTTGACCCAATATAAACCAGCCTCCAATAATTCCAATTATCAAGTCCACCTAAGGGTACATGGAGGCGTATGTTAAAATAGTATTTTGCCCAAAAACTGTCATAGGGATGTCAGAAATATGTCTGGAATACCAGAAACCTATGAGAATATGTGGAAAATGCTTCCTTCCTACATTCTTTCAATTAGAGACACAGAGATTTAGTTTTAAATTTTAATATAGAAAACCTAATTCCCCCCTTTTCTGGCTCCCTAATGGGATGTGTTAATGCACTGATTTGAAATGGTGACAGTAAGTGCTCATGAGCTCTGCATGCTGTCTAAAAGGGTACTGAGCAGGGGCTTCGAGAAAGAAACAGTTCTGTCCAATTCACTGATAACCTCAAACTCATGATGTTAAACCAAAAGAATAGTTATTTAAGATTAGTAACTAAACACTAGATATAAAATTTGGGGAAAAATGAATACAGAAATTATATTCTAGAGGATAACATGTATTTTTGTGTTTCTCAGTACAGTTTGAACCTTAAATAGGAAAGCAGAAATGCATTTTGCTCAAACCTGGATCTAACAAATCTTAATTTAGATATATTATCAACTCTATGGGTATGAAAGATGTATTTGGATTCAGTACAGAGAAGGAATTTAGTTCTAGAGGAAGTTAATTGATTTGGATCAAGAGAAGAAAACTTACGAGTCTAAAGGAGTGTTATTTCTGTGAAATGTTTTTTAAAAGAATGAAAATACAGAGGCCGTGGCAAGTAGAGTGTAATGAATAAAGGTCAGCATCTGTTATATGGAAGGATAAATATAGGAGGTTAACATGGAAGCCTGCTTTGAGGCAGGACTGGATGTGTGTGAAGTGTCTCCTTTTATTGAAGACTTCAAATGGGTCAAGAGACTCACAACTCTGAGGGAAAACAAGCTTGTCGTATAAATCTAAGGGTTTATCTTACAGTTGAGAAACAACAACATAATGAGGTTAGTCATAAAATTAGCCAGTGGCATGAGTGCCTGAGGTGGGTCCCACCCACTCTGCATGCATATAAAAGGCCTTCTACAGGGAGAAACATCCAGACTCAAGTTACCCACACTGCTTCTCTACCCAAGGACAACCTCAACAACCAGCACCATGTGTGGCAGCTACTACGGAAACTACTATGGTGGCCGTGGCTATGGATGCTGTGGCTATGGTGGCCTAGGCTATGGCTATGGTGGCCTGCGCTATGGCTATGGAGGCCTGGGTTATGGCTATGGAGGCCTGGGCTGTGGCTATGGTTGTGGCTATGGATATGGCTCCCGTTCTCTCTGTGGCTGTGGGTATGGATGTGGCTCCAGATATGGCTCTGGTTTTGGATACTACTATTGAAGACACAGTGTGAGACTCTTAGCTTCGACACCTGGGACACTGGGATTTACCAATATTGAATGCCACATGCTCTGAGCTTCTTACCTGGGTGAAGATCATCCTGCATCATAGGTTCCTGGTGTGATCTTGCTGAAGACTTACACCCTAGTGCCCTGTGGATCTGGTACCTCAGACTTTTCCTTTCTTAGATTTAACTCCTGAAATTCAAGAGAACTTTGAACTTGTCCTGTGAAGTCCTGTATTATCTCTCATCGAGATGAAACAGTGACAAACCTTGCATTTTGATTTTCATGCAGGACCCATTCTAATGTTTTCCTAATAAACTTTTTCAACCCCTAAAATGATCTTGATTTTCTTTATTTAACATCCAGTATTTTACTACCCCCTCTATTCTTATTAAAGAAAATGACTGCACTTTTTAGGATGTATAATGCTTTCCTATTTCTACCTCAGTTATTCTAAAAATTCTTGATTTAAGACATTAAGAAGGCAATAATCTTAGCAGTTCTCAATTTTCCACTCTGTTTCAGCTGTGATATATATTATGTTGAGTTATTGATAGAAAAAACAGTGAAATATTTATCAATTTAGTCAAGCAGTGACTGGAAATAGTATCTATAAGTGCTTTTACATCAAAACCTTCATCTGAATGACATCCCTTTGAAGACATGAATGTTAATGTATGATTCCTGCTTCTAATCTTTGGTTTGGCTCTATTTAAGGAAAGAATATATGTTTCTCCAGTTCAATTGGTAGAGAAGTTCAAACTAAACTAGGCCTGTTCCCAGCTAAGTTTTACGTGCCCTACTTTAGTTTAAAATTTAGTTTTGAAAATGTGACATCAGTCCTAACACCTATAAAGCATGTAAGTTTAGAACCATTTGACAATATTCTACATTCTCTGTCTTGAGATATTTCTTCCTTGTGATTTCTGAGTTCTCAGAGTTTATATCTACAATAATTTGCTTCCCCATCAATTTTCTTTGACTCCTATTTGTAAATCTGACAATTATCTTTTATAATGTTCAACTTTCTGAATCTTATGCTAAGCATGAGAAAATTTAAGTGCTATATTTAGTTTAGGGAAGTCCAGATGCCCCAATTCATTCCAACAGGTTCAAAGTTATAAGGTTGTTGGTGCCACCAGGACGAAATTAACATCTCCAGAATGATCCAAACCAAACAGAAAACATGTTTTCTTCTAATTATGCTCATAAAAGAATCTGTTTTCTAATTTACTTTATTATTGAAGCTTATATTTTATATTTCATATTAAATGGAACTTTAAGGGTCTGCACTCATACATCTCAGGAAATAGTAGACTTTAAACCCATTTTGATCTCTTTATGGGTCATAATCACTGGATACAAAAATGCTTTAGAAATAGACGCATAGACTAAGATTGCCATTGATTATGGTTTTGTAAGATCTCCACTTGATTCAGTCTTTTTTTTTTTTTTTTTTTTTGCGGGGATGGGGGGAACTAAGGATTGAACTCAGGGGGACTAAACTACTGAGATACATCCCAGCCCTATTTTCTATTTTATTTAGAGACAGAGCCTCATTGAGTTGCTTAGTGCCTCCTTTTTGTTGAGGCTGGCTTTGAACTCCTAATCCTCCTGCCTCAGCCTCTTGAGCCACTGGGATTACAGGTGTGTGCCACCGTGCCAGGCTGCTTGATTCTGTCTTAATGCCATCTAAAATTGATTAGAATTCTTGGAAGCTCTGACATTTTGAATTTGAAGTTAAAAGCCACCATTAATGTCCTCAGATAAACATGTCTTTTACACTGACATTGATTCGTTCACTTCTTTGAAGTCCTCAAATTGTGACTATCTCATATTGCACTTGAAATGCGCTGATATTTTGCACTTTACACTATTCTTTATTTATGTCTCTCTTTCCCCCAAAAGAAGGAACGTCTACTTCAACAGCATAGCTGTATTTACCTTATTTAGTAATATGCACAAAACACTTTCCAAATTGCTGCACTGAATCAGGAAACAGATCCGCTATTTAATGGCTTTTTTCAAATTATATAATTTCTTTGGTATTGGTATTCTCATATAAAAGTAAGTAGAATGATAGAACCTTCATTCTAGGGATGTTATCAGACATAAATATGTTAAAACATGCAGAGTGCTTAGAACAATGTCTAGTATTTAATAAGTATAACTTTTAACTATTATATGTATGTTTTTGCTCTTTTCATATAAAATATTATTTGGTTGTACTTATCATATTTTATTTATAGAATTAATATGTCAAAATTCCATGTAAATAATTTATATTTATAATTTAAATAATAATAAATAGCATTTATTTGTCATTTATTACAGAGGAATCACTGAGCCTATTCTTTCATATAGGTACTTAATCCTCATGAAAGTACTTTTGTTACAGAAATCTCAAAACAGCTTAATGTTGCCTTAAAAGATGTCCATTTGTAAACTGAGTGAAACAAACAAACAAAAAGTGCATCAATTTCTCATTGGCAGGTTTAGCATGACAAAAGAAATGCTTCATATTCACTGACTAGATGTTTCTTTATATTTAAAAGAAACTTATTTGCATTTGTTAATCGGCCATAGATTTTTTTCTCACCAAATATTTTATGAAAAAATTATTATTAATTGTTAAGGGTTATTTAATTGTTAAAGACTATTGTAAAATTAAAATATATTTAGAGAAAAATTATTTTTTACCTCCTCCCTCTAATAAGAATTTGCATTTTCCCTCCTCCTTTATTTTTTTCCCTATCATGTTATTTGTGAAATTACAATTTTCTCATGTTGGACATCTAGAATCTTTTCTGCCCAACTCTTACTTTCTTTGGTTTAATGTTTGTCTTTGTTTGCCTCTTTTCCAAACTCCAGGATAATTTCTCAATAGCTTCCACTCTTCTTATCTCATGTTAAATTTTCTGTCATTTTTTTTTTAATTTACAAGTTTTGTATGGAAAGTACATACTTTCCTTTTTAAGATTTTGCTATTTGCTGGTATACTTGTTATAACATTACATGTTCAATGGCTCTTAAATATTATGAATTTTAGAAATTCAAATACTGTGTTCAAGTGTTTTCCCATCTTTTTTATAGTACTATTTTGAAAGTTGGATGCTTTCGGAGTTCTCAGCTTAATCTTTTGATTTTGACAGCTAGTCATTTCATATGGCTATTCTTTAGAAAGAATGATCTACATACCCAATACTCAGGGTAAAAGTTTGTCCCATCAGACATCATGCTTGTTCATATGCAAATCTTTCATATGTGGACATTTATAAATGAAAATGTTTAGGTTTATAATTTTACTTTGCCTCTTTAACAAGATCTGTTACTCTCAAGGGGTGACTGTGAAGTGTGAGCAGTGGAGGTGCTGTTTCCCAATACCGTGTGACGATGTTACCTTTCAGGTTGTTGTGACAGTCTTGCTGATCTGTGCCAGCATGTTAATGATGCCATACTTCAAATTCCTCTAATATTCTCCCAGATGTTTTTCTTTCCCCCTTAAGATACATGGAATCCTAAGTTATTGACTATATTTTTTTTTCCAGAATTCTTGTCAATTTTCACAAAAAATTAATAAAGACACATTATTATATATTTCATTTTATATGTAGATTTTTGATATTCAATTGATTTTTAAATATTGTACAGTTTTTGATTTATTATTCTAATAATTTTAACAACTTTATGGATATTTGGTTGACAGACTTGTAGGCATATACTTGTGAAAACATCATCATAGTGTATATCATATTAGTATCCATCACTTCCAAAAACTTACGCCATTATTCTTTATTATTTTATTATTAGTTTAGTACATAATTACCATAGTATTTACACTGTTATCAAAACCTTGAGTATGAAATTTGAAAAAAAGTTATGAATAAATGCAAATTTTAAAACCTACTTTTGAATAACCATTTAACCAAGGTATAAATCAAATGGAAATTATAAAATATCTTAAGACAACAGAAAACAAAAGCATGCTAAATGTATGTGATGCAGCAGAAAAAGTCTCAAGAGGCCAGTTTATAGCAATACACACATATGCTAAAAAAGAAGAAAGATTTCAAAGGAATAAAATGAGTTTATACCTCACACAAGTAAACTAATAAGACAAAACTAAGCCCATATTTGACAAAAGGAAAAAAGATTAATGAAAGTTAAAACTGAAATAAATGAAAGAGAATAAAATGACAATAGATCACCAAAGCGAGTAGTTGGTTTGGGGAAATACAAAATCAACAAAGCATTAATTACACATAGTAGGGGAAAAAATGATAAGACTAAATACAATCTGTAATGAAACTGAAGACATTACAACCAATACCACAGGAGTAAAAGAGATCGTACAGAACTATTAGAAAGAACATGGACAACCTATGCCAATCCTATGTAATGTAGCACTGGAAGTTCTAGCCAGAACATTAGGCAAGAACAATAATAAAAGACATTTAAATCAGAAAACAAGTAAAATTATCTGTTTGTAAATGGTATTATCTTTTGTATAGAAAATCCTAATGATCTAACAAGAAAATATTAGAATGAATAAGCCAATTCAATAAATTTGTAGGATTCAAATTTAACAATCAAAATCACTTTTGTTTCTGTAAATTAGCAATAAATTTTATAAAAATAAAATTAAGAAAAAAATCCTATTTACAATAGCATCAAAAGAATAAATATGTAGAAATAAACTTAATGAAAGATGTGAAAGATTTATATATTGAAAACTCTAAAGTACTGATGAATGAAATGAAAACAGACAATAACAAGTAGAAAGACATCTTGTTCTGTGATTGAGAAGAATTAATACTATTAAAATGGTCATGCTACCCCAAACAATCTTAAGTTCTAATAAAATTCTACCAAAATCCCAATGTCAGTTTTTACAGAAATAGAAAAAATAATCTAAAAATTCACATGGACCCACAAACGACCTTGAATAGTCAAAGCAGGGTTGAGACTGGTGGTCTCATACCTCCTAATTTCAAA